CTCTCACTTTCTCTCTCAAATAAATAACTAAATAAGAATCTTAAAAAAAAAGATTTATTTGAGAAAGAGCACGCATGAACGCATTCAGCAGAAGGGAGGGAGGGGAAGAGGGAGAAGCAGATTCCCTGCTGAGCAAGGGAGCCGGATATGGGACTCTGTTCCAGGACCCTGGGATCATGACCAGAGCCGGAGTGGACTCTTAACTGAATGAGCCACCCAGGTGCCCTGAAGCCATATTATTGAACTTAGTACAGTGTTACATTTAAATTTCATTGGTTTGTCTTGCACTTTGAATGGATATTTACTCCTGCATAATTTTATGACATCGTACATTGGTCATTAAGAAATCATTGGTTCACTGGGTTATGTAGCTCTTCTGAACGTTGACAAATTTAATTATACAGTTGTTAACATTTCCACCCATCTCATCAGATAAGTCTTTTAAGAATGAGCTGACAAGCTCATAGTGGCAGGCATAATTCTGATTTTCATTTCAAATCTGAATAACCATAGTTTGTCATTTATTCTCTGAAGTAAAAATGGTGTTCCATGAAAGGTCAGCTGGTTCAACTTTCTACTCAGGTAATCACACCGGTGTTTTTCTTTGAGATAGCTCTTGTATTTCCATGTACAGAAGTGCTTTTGAGTATTTACCATTTTCTCTCAAAGAATAATCACGGATTTTTTTTAAAATGTGTACTGAAATGTCAAGAATTTATACAATCAATAATTTTTACAACTTCATCAAAGACATTCACATGAAAGTGTATTTTTTGTGTGTGCTGTGTATGGCAATGAAGAATTCAGTAACTGTTTTATAGTTTGGGTCATTGTCCTGATTCATGCTCAGGCTCCAGCAGTTTTATACACCATTGCTTTTGCCCCCTAGTGCTGAGGTTAGTACAGTTAAAAAAAAAAAAAAAGTAAATAATGCCTTAGTATTGTTATGAACATAGTTTTGACTTCAGGGACACTCTGAAAGAGGTCTCAAGGCCTTTTAGGGGCCTTCAGACCTCATTTTCAGAATTACTAATCTAGAAAGGACAGTGATTTTTCACATCGGTTCTTTGAAAGCACATGGCTGGTAGAGTTCTACTGAACCTATTCCTCTTTACTTCAGCCAGAGCAGCTTCTGTGTTGGGTTCCATAGCTAAAAATATTTGAAAACCACTAGTCAAGAGAAGAAAGAACTGACGGAATTAGACTGTTGTTCAGGAAGGGAGCAGTTCATGCTTCATGAATGCATGTTGCGCTCACTCATCACTTCATACCTTATTTATTTCTGCATGCTCCTTTGACATAGAGACTTCTGGTGTCTACCCACCTTGGTGGATTAAGCTTCTTAAGAAATAGGGGAGGGGCTTCTGTGTGGCCCAGTAGGTTAAACTTCTACCTTTGGCTCAGGTCATGATCTCAGGGTCCTGGGATCGAGTCCCACATTGGGCTCTCTGTTCAGCAGGGAGCCTGCTTTCCCCCTCTCTCTCTGCCTGCCTCTCTGCCTACTTGTGATCTCTCTCTGTGTCAAATAAATTAAAAAAAAAATAGATGAATGGATTTGTAAATTAAAGGTGACTTGTTGGGAATGAGACTAGAGAGGTGAGATGAGTGAAAGAGAATGATCAGAGTGACCTCTGTGTGTGGAGCAAGTGTTTGTTTTTCTTTGTTTACAGTGGTATTTTATGGTTATATTAAATGGTCACTAGAGGACACTGAAGTATTATGAAATCATTTTATGTGTGGTGATCCAGCTGGGCATTGAGTAGTCAAGGCTTAGAGCGAGGGGAAATTAATTTACATTTTTCTTACTTAAAGTATTATAAAAATATTTGTTGAAAAGCTAAAAAAAAAACCCTGCTTTTGGGTGTAGAGGTTACTTTTAAAAAAATTAAAAATCTTAGGAAAACACAAACAAACCAACCTACTTTTGAGGAGCTCTAGCCTGAGGCATCTTTGTCCTTCAGTGTGGGCTGGATAATCCCTGTTGTTAATTGTAGACATAGAGGTCTGAAAGGTTGAATATCCTGACAAGTACAGTTACACAGTAGCAAATGGCAGGGTTTCTTAAATTCCTTTTTAACTTTTTTTAGTTTATTTTAGATTTTCAGAGAATTGCAAAGATAGTAAGTGGTGGAGAGTTTTAAATACAGATTTGTGTTACTCCAGAACTGATGTACTCTTTTCACTACTTCTGTTTTTCAAATGAAGCTTATGTTAAAGGAATGAAAATGCTACTCAGCACTGCGAGGAAAGGAGCTCAACTAGATAATACAGATTATTTTAAATTAATTTATACCTTAATGGATGAAATTAAGCAAAATCCAGATGCTTTCTACTAGAGCAGCAAACAGCTCATACACTCAGGGGGCTGGTATTACAACAAATATATTGCATAACTAAAAGCAGCTGAGAGGCATTAGTTTACGTAATCATGTTTGGAATGGGGGAGGGGAAGGGGATGTGTTTTTATACTGATAAGAGTCTGAGGGTCTAATCTGGGACAGTGTGGAATAGGTGAGGCTTGAACAGCAATTTTTATTTTTTATGTTTTGTTTTTTTTTTTTTTTAATTTTTACGTAATCTCTATACCCAGTGTGGGGCTGGAACTCAAAATCCTGAGATCAGGAGTCGCATGCTCTACCCACTGAGCCAGCCAAGCGCCCCAGATATTTTTCTCTTTCTTTTTAAAAATATTTTATTTATTACTGGGGCACCTAGGTGGCTCAGTTGATTAAGCGTCTGCCTTCAGCTCAGGCTGTGATCCCAGAGTCCTGGAACCATGTCCCACATTGGGCTCCCTCCTTGCAGGGAACCGGCTTCCCCTCCTCCCTGCTCATGTTCTCTCTTGCTATCACCCTCTCTCTCAAATAAATAACTAAATAAATTTTAAAAGATTTTATTTATCAGGGTGCCTGGGTGGCTCAGTGGGTTGAAGCCTTTGCCTTTGGCTCAGGTCATGATCCCAGGGTCCTGGGATGGAGTACCGCATCGGGCTCTCTGCTCATCAGGGAGCCTGCCTCCCCCTCTCTCTGTGCCTGCCTCTCTGCCTACTTGTGATTTCTGTCTGGCAAATAAATAAAATAGTTTAAAAAAATTTAAAAAAATATTTTATTTATCAGTTTTTAAAGATTTTACTTATTCGATAGTGAGAGGAGGAGAAGCAGGGAGCCTGGTGTGTTTGATCCCAGGACACTTGGATCATGATCTGAGCTGAAGGCAGATGCTTAACCGACTGAGTTATATAGGTGCCCCAAGATTTTATTTTTTTTTAAATGTAATTGCTACACCCACCTTGGAGCTCTGACTTACAGCTCCAAGATCCAAGAGTCACACACTCCCCCAACTGAGCCAGCCAGGTGCCCCTGAACATCAATTTTTAGAAAGAAAAAGTGAGGGGGTGCCTGGGTATCCCAGCTCAGCGAGGAGCCTGCGTTTCCCTCTCCCTTTGCTGTTCCCCTGCTTATACTCTGTCACTCTCTCTGTTAAGTAAAGAAATAAAAATCTTTAAAAAACAAAAAGAAAAAGGGACGTAGTTTTTAGAGAAAAGCGAATGTTCTAACAAAGGAATGGCTTAACTGGGATTGATCATAGGAAGGATACAGTAAAACAAGAGGATAGCAGGTGGTTTTGCTGGGATGTGATATCTGGTGATTAAGACTAAGCTAACTTTTTGGAATTCTGCCTAACTCTCCCATCCCTTTTCTATTCAAGGCAAAAAGTAACAGTTACTTTTCCATTCAGTTTAACTGTGGAAGATAATTCCTGTCTATTCTAGTATTTTTGTGAAGATTAGTTGAGAGGATATATGAAAAAGTACTTTGTAAGCTGGGAAGTAGTACTTCATTCATCTAACAGTTATTGTTTTTGCTCTTAAGAGTTTGGTACAAAGGAACTCAGTGAAGTGGAGAGGAAAAATTACTTCCCAGTTGTGTAACTTTCTGTTGTCAGAGAGCAGCAAGCTTACTTAGTCATTCAGATAGTGCTTAAAGTTGGCAATTGCTGGGTTGTTACCCTGTTTCAGGGACTGTCTACCACTCTTCCGAAGGAAAACTGAGGTTGATCTTTGTTCCCAGAGTTCACAAAGTGCACAAAAGTTGAATGTTTATTAAGCTTCATTTGGGATAGTGGGGGAATACTGGACTACTGATGTCTGTTATTAAGGCTTCCTCTTTCTTATATCTGACAGTCTTTTTTTTTTTTTTTTTAAGATTTTATCTATCCTTTTGAGAGAGTGAGAGCGTGCAGGGTGGGGGAGGGGCAAAGGGAGAGGGAGAAGCAGACTCCCTGGTGAGCTGGGAGCCAGTCGCAGGCTCCATCCCAGGACCCCGAGATCATGACCTGAGCCAAAGTCAGACATGGAATTGACTGAGACATCTGACAGTCTTAATTACTAATTAGAAGATCGAGTACAGGGCACCCCTGGGTGGCTCAGTGGTTTAAGCGCCTGACTCTTGATTTGATCTCAGCTCAGATTTTGATCTCAGGATAGTGAGTTTAAGCCATATTAGGCTCCACGCTGGGTGTGGAGCCTACTTAAAAAGATCAGCACAAAGAACAAAGTAAATTATTTAATGGCATTGTTTCTCTGTATAGGCCTATTTCTTTTTTTTTTTTTTTTTTTTTTTTTTTTTTTTCTTTTTTTTAAAACTTTTATTGGAACAAAGTCAAGGTTATTATTTTTTTATTGTTCTTGGTTGCTTCCAAACTACAATGGTAGAGCTGAGTGGTACACTTAAGAGAGACAATATGACTCATAAAGTAAAAAAATATTTACTATCTGGCCCTTTAAAAAAAGAGTTTGCTGACCCCTGTTACAAAAAATGAGACTGACACATAAAGGACTGGGAGAAATTTCTCTAAGTAATGGATAAACTCTCATCATCTCAATCATCAATCAACAGTGAGATTCAGAATCCAGTAGCACACTCTAAGGCAACTATGAAAAGGAGCAGTCACTCATAATCACAAAGAAAATATTTTGAAACATTCATCTACATCAGCGACCAGGCATTTGTGTTAATCATGTAATGCATGCCATGAGATTGATTTTTAAATGCTCTTATCTCTGTAATTTAAGTATTTATCTCATATTTTTAAATGTAAATGATCCATATTTATAAAGTTTACCTTAAGACTACTTTTTTCTGGAATATCATCCAACATTTTCTTCTTAAATAGACTTTGTTGAAAACTAGGCTTAAATGCCTGTAAAGCACTGCTTTTGTCTAGACCTCTCATTGTGGAGCCAGGTATTTCTGACGAATTTGTTTGTCTGAGTACTTTGGCTTCTCTTTGGTGAGATAAGTTAGGAGGTTCTGATATTCTTAATTGTTTCCCTTGCTGAGCTCCCCAACAGGAATTTATTCCATCATTTGCCACCAGGTTTGTTCTTTTGCATTGAGGCCTAACATCATTTCTGTCCGATGTTTTCCAGCTGGTATTTTTGCTGCCATCCCTGTAGCTCCAGTGACTCTTGCTTCTTTCAGTATTTAATTGAGTAGACTTAGACATGGAATCTTGACTTCTCAGAGGATGAGAAACTGAATGTGGTATTTGCCCTGTGTTCATTGTTTTCATTGAAGGAGGAAACTCTGGATTCACAGCTTCCCAAGCCCAATCTGGCGGTAAAGGAGGGAAATCATAACTATCAGAAGCAGTACTGCTACTTGGATCATTTGTAAGTGGACTGGATGTTAATGGTTGTCTATTCCTCTTCTTCTGATTGAACAATGGTACAGGCAAACAGCCTGCTGTACTTCGAGTTGAATTTTCACTTAGGTTTCTCTTCATTTTTTTCAATATCAAAGTCTGTAACGTTTCTTTAGCATTCCAAATTTACAAATGAAGTTGTCTGACTAAATCTTCAGGTTCCTACGCCTCCAAATAACCGTCGTCTTCGGCCTGTTGCTTCCCGTGGACACACTCCAGTCAGCTACGGCCCACTTCCCGGCCTCTGGACTATTTCATTTTAATCTTTTCTTTCTAAATATGTCTTACCAAAAAAAAAAAAAAAAAAAATTGCAGTGAGTGTAAGTACATCCATCCATAAAGGAAGTGGTTAATCTTTGCAGGAAAGTTCTTCTAGGCCACATAAATTGTCATTCCATAAGGGTGAGCGGTTTCCTTTCTGATGATTGGAACTGTCATGTTTGCCAGAGAAGTGTCTCTTTTTCCTGATAGGGCTGGATTAATAGTGCCAAATTTTGGTTTTATAGCTTTCTTATTTATAGTGAATGCAAAGTCATTTTACCTTTAGTTGCCAGTGTTCTTTCTCTGGGAGCTCTAGGCTCTATACACACAGCTAATAGTCAAGAGTAGCTTTGTGATCATGCTCAATTTCACCTTTTGTAACCTAGAGATCAAAATATCTACCTCTTTGGATTCTTGGGAGGTTTATATGAGATAATTTGTAAAGTGTACTTAGGCCAGTGCCTGGGACATAGTAAGAATTAAAATGTTAGCTACTATTTCAGTTTGGGACAGGTTAATATATTTATTTATTTCATTATTATTTTTTTTAAAGATTTTATTTATTTGACAGATCACAAGTAGAGAGAGAGAGAGAGGAGGAAGCAGGCTCCCTGCCCAGCAGAGAGCCTGATGTGGGACTCCATCCCAGAACCCTGAGATCAGGACCCGAGCTGAAGGCAGAGGCTTAACCCACTGAGCCACCCAGGCAGCCCATTGGGACAGGTTAATGTATTTAAAAGATAAAGGTTTGAATGTGTGATATGCCTTTAAATTTTTTTAAAGATTTTTTAAAGATTTATTTATTTATTTGACAGAGAGAGACACAGTGAGAGAGGGAACACAAGTAGGGGGAGAGGGAGAAGCAGGCCTCCTGCTGAGCAGGGAGCCCAATGCAGGGATCCATCCTAGGACCCTAGGATCATGACCTGAACCAAAGGCAGACGCTTAACGACTGAGCCATCCAGGCGCTCCTAAACCTTTTTTTTTTTTTTTTGCTATGCCTTTGAACTTAAATGGATTTAGAAGTTCTACTCCAACAATCTCTAGCATTACTTCCTCCCTTTTTTTTAAGAGAGATGGGGAGATCTCTAGTGTGAGTGAGGGAGGGGCAGAGTAAGAGAGAGAATCTTAAGTAGGCTCCATGCCTGATGTGGGGCTCAGTCTCAGAAACCCAAGATCGTGACCTGAGCCAAAATCAAGAGTCACATGCTCTGACAACTGAGTTAGACAGGCGTCCCTGCATTCATTCATTCATTTATTTATTTATTTATTTATTTGACAGAGACACATCGAGAGAGGAAACATAAGCAGGGAAAGTGGGAGAGAGAGACACAGGTTTCCCACTGAGCAGGCAGCCCGATGTGGGGCTCAGGCCCAGGACCCTGGAATCATGACCTGAGCCGAAGGCAGACACTTAATGAATGAGCCACCCGGCGCCCCCCCCTTTTTTAAATTTTTAATTTTTTTATTTCTTTTCAGTGTACCAGAATTCATTGTTTATGTACCACACCCAGTGCTCCATGCAATACGTGCCCTCCATAATACCCACCACCAGGCTCACCCAACCTCCCACCCCCTGCCCCTTCAGAACCCTCAGATTGTTTTTCAGAGTCCATAGTCTCTCCTGTTTCGTCTTCCCCTCCAGTTTCCCCCAACTCCCTTCTCTCCATCTCCCCATGCGCTCCGTGTTACTTCTTATGCTCCTCAAATAAGTGAAACGATACGATAATTGACACTCTCTGCTTGATTTATTTCACTCAGCATAATCTCTTCCATGTTGATACAGAAGTTGGGTATTCATCCTTTCTGATGGAGGCATAGTACTCCTAGTGTATATGGACCACATCTTCCTTATCCATTCGTCCGTTGAAGGGCATCTTGGTTCTTTCCACAGTTTGGCGACCGTGGCCATTGCTGCTGTGAACATTCCTCCCCTCCCTTTTTTTAATGGGAGAATAGAGTTAGTACAGATTATCTGCATCCTCTATATCTTTTTTTGTTGTTGCTGCAGGTAATAGAAGAAATAAACATGAGGAATAAGTTTGGGTCCTCTGAATTCTTTGCCCCATATATCATTTACCTTCCTTTCTCCATAGGCAACTATTTTCATGTATTTTTTCTAGTCTCCCCTTTTACTCATACTGTGTATATACATATCAATAAATAAGAGTGTATTTTCTTTTCTTTTTTATATAATCTGCCAAATGTATCTTTTTGCAATTTGCTTTTTTTCATTAAATGTCTTTTACTTGAAATAACTCTCTAAGGTAACTTTGTCCAGATGTTCTGGTGGTGTCCTGTTCTTGATACCATATCCTGGGTACGTACATAGCAGAGTGCTCTGATTTACTTCTTCAGTTGGATAATTTAAGGTTAAAGACCTCTGTCTAATGAACTGATAAGTATATTTATTTATGCTTATTATATGAGGGAAGCTAAGCTCTGGTTGTAAAATACAAGGCCAGATAGGATAGGTACACAAATACCTATTCTTACCTGTGTACCTTATTTATCTTGGTCCTCATTTCCTCTCTTGTCTTTCTAGTCCCCCAAGGTCCAGTTCACATTCTAAATCCCCACAAATTTTTCCTCCTATTTCCTGCTCACATTCTAATTTTTACTTCCTGTTGTGCTTCCTGGCACTTACTGCTTTTCCAGTTTTAAACATGTGGGTCCTTTCTCTAATTATATCAGAAATTACAAACTCAAAATCTGTTGGGGTCAGGCAGCTGATGGAAATGAGTGATGCTGGGTGGGCATTGAGGCACATTGGAGATTACACTTTACCAAAGTTGGGGGGTGGGCAGTTGCTACTAAACTCTAGACTATTACTAAATAATTAGAGTCCCTAGTTTGCTTAATCATTAGTTTTTTTGTTTGTTTGTTTGTTTTAAGATTTTATTTATTTATTTGACAGACAGAGATCACAAGTAGACAGAGAGGCAGGCAGAGAGAGAGAGAGAGGGAAACAGGCTTCCTGCTGAGCAGAGAGCCTGATGCGGGACTCGATCCCAGGACCCTGAGATCATGACCTGAGCTGAAGGCAGCGGCTTAACCCACTGAGCCACCCAGGCGCCCAATCATTAGTTTTTTTATGAGAGGTCCAAAATCTGTTTTTTTGACATAGCCTTATTTTAAATGTTACCAGCTAGTTTGTGATAATAAATACACATACATAAACATTTCTGCATACATGCATACATATATATGTGAAATATACCATATATATAACAGATCAAACAACTTTTTGCTGGTTGTATTCAGCCATTTTGTGATCTCTTCCTTTTTCCAACCTCTTAATTAAATGAAAAATTCTACCAAGAGTCTTCCTTTCATGGCATCCTTTTGTTCTGAGAATTCATCACACTTGATTTTAAGTAAGAAGTTACTTCTAAAATAACTTGATCAGAGGCACCTAGTGGCTCAGTGGGTTAAAGCCTCTGCCTTCTGCTCAGGTCATGATCCCAGGGTCCTGGGATTGAGCCCCGCATCAGGCTCTCTGCTCCGCAGGAAGCCTGCTTCCTCCTCTCTCT